AGAGTGCAGCAGAACCCAAATTTTTGTTGGGCTATTTCTTTTAGTTTATTTTGTTTAAAAATTTTGTTTATACTTTGAAATTTAAAGTTCAAAGCGATGTGTTCACATTTTAGATAGAGAAAACTAAAAATACTTTTTTTTTTCATTGTAGCGCTGAACTTCAGACCCTCTTAATGAACCAGTTAACAGTAAAGGTACGGTGAAAGTGTCTTTGTATTTACAGGGCTATGAACACATTCTTAATTTTTTTAGAATGGTGTATAGTATATTGCTTGTATACTAAATATATTTCTTCTCTTAATTAGGGCTTAAAAAAGCTTGGACAGTCTATAGAGTCATCATATTCCAGTATACAAAAATTGGTTATAAGTCACTTACAGAGGTATGAAAGCGATGTAGAATTTTTTTGGTATTGCATTTACATATCATTGTCATTGGTCATGTTTCTTCAGCCTTCACTTCATCATTCGACATTCTCTTTTTGAGCCTTTTTCTATCTAAAATTATTGCATTGGCACATGATGGGAATTTCGAAGTGCCCAAGTTTTAAAGAATCAATTATGGTAATACTACTTCATAAAATAATTTTTAACATCTTTTCACCAGGTTATGCCCTGTCTGGGCTTTTTTCTCACCCAGACAACCAAGAGGTATATTTTGAATAGGGCATACACCCTCTTTTGAGCGGTGAAATTAAATATGTTTGTATATCATTTTGCAGTTTACAAAACATGTTATGTATTTTTGTGTTTAACACCTTGGCAAGGTGTTGGTTATGGTTATCTTTATTTTATACAAGAGGAGACAAGTTCAGAATGGTTATATGACTGGCCCAGAGTTACTAAGTGTCAGAGCCAAGACTTCTCCGAGATTGTTGAATCTCATGCTGTTTCTTGCCAGATACCTCATTGAAGTAATTGTCAGATGGATGCTCAGTGTTTGACTTAAATTTTGACAGATTTGTTTACGCTGAGTCCCCTAACCCTTAGCTCCATTACCTCTCCCTCTGATCGCTTCAGCCTTGTCTTCCCCAGTCTGCACTATTCTCCTTAAATGTGTTCTCCACTGTGGATCTGGTCATGTTGCTCTAACTCAAAATCTTCTAGTGCCTTCCCATTACTCTTAGGCCCACGACCTTTCATGGCCTTTAGCATACCTGCCTCTTGGCTTCACCCACGCTCATGGCCTTCTCAAACTTGGCATTTTTTCTCCTACCTAGGGTTTTTGTGTATCACTTTTGCCTTCTAGAATACTCCCATCATGCTCTTCACTTGTACTCAGATATTACTTGTTCAGAGAGGTTTTCCCTGCTCCCCCAAATTATACTGGGTTCTTCTATTGGGCCTGCACCCTGTGCATTTCTTTCAAGGCATTTATTGTATTTGGAATGCTGTAATGTCCGATTGTGTGGTTATGACTGTCTCTCCCATTAGACTCTCAGTGCCACAAAGACCCTTTTGTTTTATTCACCATTAAGTCCCCAGTATCTGGCATAGTGCCTGACCTAAAATTAGAGTTTAATAAATATTTGTTGAATGTTAAATACATAGCTATTGGGTGAATAAGATAACCATATGCATATCTTAAAAGTGCCAGGACTAACTATGGAACAGATTTGATCTTAGAAAATTTAATCTTGTGGTCATGTACTCATCTCAGTAATCATTATAACCAAATGATTCTGCTATACTACTTAGAGATAATTTTGAGAAATAAGTAGTTCTCATAGAAATAAAATTATTTTCCATTTTTATTTCTCAATTTAGAAATGTTCAAGCTAGTAGCTGCCTGCCACTTGATGGTAGCGATACTAATTTGTTTCTGCTCTGTTTTGATAGTGGCTCAGAGTCTTTATTATACCACTTGAGTGAACTGAAAGGAATGGCTTCATGGAAGCAGAAATATGAACCTCTTGGACTAGATGCTGCAGGAATTGAAGGTAGTAATTTCATTCTCAATAGAATACATTAAACATCCTTTACTCACTTGACAAATGATATTTATTTATTTCCCTTTAGATGCTATTACTGCTGTGGGTTCTTTCATACTCAAGGCAAATGAACTTCTTCAGTAAGTATTAGGGATATCTAGAGTTATTAACCTGAGAATGTTTCATTTTTCACTTATAAATAAGAACCCAGTCATGATTAAAACAAGTTTTTAAGTTTTTATCAAAATTATATCTTTACAAGATTAAAACAAGCCAATAGCACAGTGATTTCATAAAGTAAAGCAGTGTTTTCCTGTCCCACCCATCTTTACCCCAGGTCTTCTCTCTAGGATCTTTTAACTCTTGTAGCTGTTTCTATTTTTAGTTCTTCTGTAGGTTACCTCCATATTTCTGAATTGTGTAACTATACTGCATTTCTTTCATTCATCAGTTTTTTAGAAATTATTCTTCTCTTTGTTTCTTTTTGTTTTTCCTAGACTCTGCTTTCTCTTTTTCTTCTATTGTCTGTCTGTATCACGTCCTGGGGTTCTTTCCTTGTCTCAAGGGTAGTATCATATCCCAGCAATTCCCCTCTGTCCCAGGTACCTCCTCCTTTAGCCTTCCGACCCCACACCATCTGGATGTGGTGTCCCAGCTCTCCCACCGGCCACAACACGGGCATCTTTTTCATTGCTTTCCTGGGGTAGATTTGGTTTTCCAGCATCTCCTCTTTCTTGGTTCATTTAATCGTTTTGCTGGAAAACATCCTCCGGTAACTTAGGAAGCAGACATGCATGGGTAAACTTTTCTGTGTCGTTTTGTGTCTTTTACCTTCACACTTAATTGATAGTTTCCACTGCGTGTAGGATTTTGAAGGGGAAATCATTTCTCATAGAACCTTGAAAGCATTGCTCCATTGTTTCTGACCTTTGTGTTACTAATGTAAAATCTGGTGTATCTGATTCTCATTCCTTTGTCAGGTATTTTTTTCTCATCTCTTTTTCAAGAAAAGCTTTTTCTTGAAATTTCACCATAGTGCTTTTAGATGTGGAGCTCTTCATTCATTGTGCTTATAATAAGAAAACATCACTTAACCTGAATTCTATTATTGTTTTGATAATTTCTTCTTTTCTTTCTCTGTTTTTTTTTTTTTTTTTTTAGCTAGATTTTCATTCTAGAAATCTAGTTCTTCAGATAATAGACTTGATGGATTCGTCCTGTATGGAAAGTAAGATATGAAAAATAAGAGAGAAAAAATGTTTCTCTTTTCTGAGAAATTTTCTTGATTTAATAATCCAGCACCATCACTCATCAATAGACATTTTGTGAGCATTTAACTATGTTTTAAACACTGCTTAGATGCTGAGGATATAGCAGTGAATAGAACTAATAAGAATTCTTGCCTACATGGATCTTACATTCTAATGTAACAAGACAGACAATGAATGAATAATTAAAATATATAGTATGTCAGATACTGATAAGTAGTGGTGAGAAAAACAAAGCAGGGGAGGACCTAGGGCATGCTAGGCGTAGGGAGTGTACTTTTATATAGATGGTCAGAGAGGGCCTCGCTAAAAAGATGATATTGGAGAGAAACAGGAAGGAATGAGCCTTATTGATATTTGGGGGCAAAAGAGACAGCAAGAGTAAAGGCCCTGAGTTTGGAGCATGCCTGGCATGTTGGGGGACCTCAAGGAGGCATGATAAAGCGAATTGAATGACAGCGTGAACTGAGAGAGGTCATGGAGGATGGGCCAGGTCGTGTGGAGCCTGTAGGCTGTTGTAAAGACCTTGGCTTTTACTCTGGGTATAATAAGAAGCTTTTAGGGAGTTATGAATAGTTGAGTGACAGGAGGTATGACTTAACATTTTAAAAACATCCCTCTTGTTATTTACTTAGTGTTGTGAGTAGATTATAGGAGGGTAAGAACAAGCCAAGAGAGAAATGGTGGTCAGAATCTGGATGTATCTTAAAAGTAGAAATTACAAGATTTGCTGAATGATTTATATGGATGACAAAATAAAGGAGTCATGGGGTAATTATGAGAATTTTTATTAGGTCTGTTCACTGCTATATCCTCAGCATCTAAAACAGTGTTTAAAAGCACCTAGAAGAGTAGAATTAACATTTAATGAAATGAGGGAAGACTTGGGGGAGTATATATATATCTATCTATCTGTGTGCTTTACGTTCCTCAGTTTGGGTTCATGTGATATTTTTTATGATTAGATTCAGGTTATGCCTTCCAGGCCAGAATACTACATAATCTGTGGAGTGTTCCTCTCAAGGTGTCACATCCAGAGGCAAATGATGTCCATCTTCGTCTCCTTTGTGACATTAATTTTGATCACCTGGTCAGTGTTATGCATATTAATTTTGAAATGACTTAACTATATATAGGTGGAGCTGTTCACTACATATTGATGATATGAGACTAACATTTAGGGGAGGAGTCCGTGCTGGAAATGTGAATTTGGGGGCCAGCTGCCCATTGGTGTTATTTCAGGCTGTGAACCTGGATGAGGAGTGTGCTTAGGGAAGAGGAGAGATCTGAAGACTGAGTGATGGGCTTTCTAACATTTAGAGATGGGCTCGATGGGGAGCTAGCAAAGGAAACTTAATTTCCAAAAGTGTTTTATTGTTTCTTTAATCGTTTTGCAAAGCTTTGCTCTTGCTTTGTGGATGTGACGTCTCAGATCTCTCCAAGGACAGTAATTAGATTTTTTAAAAGTCTGTGCTGCTCCCTGAATTATCTCCATTTCCTGGATCACTTTTCTGTTTGTCTTGATCTCTTATTGCAAGCGTCCTTCTGATACATGATGCCTGATGGTTTACTCATATTTATTCACGAGGCAGTTGGAAGTTGCTCAGAATCTCCAAGTGCAGGGCATCCCAGAGCCAGTCCGAGTGCCAGAGTATGCGGGGCCCTGCTGTGTGCAGCTGGTGCCCACATGGAACTGCCCCAGCTCTTCCCAGTTCATTTCGTTTCTTTGAAGAACCCTGATTTTTTGTTTTCATCTGGAAGGTAAACCCCGAGGCATTCATATATTTTGGGAAAGAACATATCGATCACTGTCAGTTTGTCCTCTTGTGTCCAGCCCCCCACGTCATCCTCATGTCTTCTGTTGAACCTGACATTTCTGAGGATGGAGCATCTTCGAGGTTCTGCAGGGTGCATGATTCCTTGCTGCCCTCTGTGCACTGTCTGCCATCAGGCCGCCTCTATAGAGCTTAGTCAGTTACCGGTCCTCCATTGGCTTTTGACACTTCTGAAATTTTAGTTTCTTTTCTATTCCCTTTTTTCTGTATGGGTTTATAACATCACACCCCTCTCCACCAATCCACTGTCATTTTAGTGGGGCTTTAGAAAGTAGAGTTTCTAGATGCATGTTCTCAGAAGGCGAAATGAGAGGAAAAGTGACACTGCTTCTGTATTTTGAATTGTTTTTTGGTTCGCCATATTCGCAGAGAGTAAATATAAAAATTAAGCTTTCTCTGATCATCTTTCAATATGAATGCAAGGTAATTTTTAACTTCTTGCTCCTTTGATGTAAGTAGAATATAGCATGTTAGGTTAAAGATGGAGAAACTGAGGCAGTGAGAATTTTGATGTTAGCCTCTAACAGATCAGTGGTTACCTGGGGTTAGAGTGAGATCAGGAAAAATGCAAAGGAACTTTTTTATTTTTTCATTTTTGCTGCAGGAGAATTGATCATGTTGCTTTTAGTAATGTAGACATGTCACAGTCTTTTAAGCGCAGGGTTTTATTGTGTACAGAAAGGTTGGTTATAACGACTTGCCCCTCCAGCAGTGCTGTGACACTTAATGCTTGGAAGGGGCTTCAAGACACAGGAATGAAAAGTGCAGGTGTTACTTGCTTAGAATAATTACCTTATAGATGTCAGCTTAAAAGATTTTTTTAAAAATAATACCCATCTCTGTACTCAGAAACAGTTTCATTAAAATGATGATGACTTCCATTTATTCACTTGATTTTGGGGGTGCATTAGTGTAAAGAACAAGGAAATTCAACTTTCGAGATGTTATTATAAGGTTAAAAATCAACCACCACAAATAATGTTGAGTGGTATTGGAATAGAGAAAGAGTAGAAATTTATAATCATGGTTTTCTGTTGGAATTGATGTTTTTTCTTACTGACCAGTGAGTACTTTTTTAAACTGAGAATAATGCTGCAAACTGTTTTTTTCTGGTTTCTTTTATTTGTAGAGTTAGAAAGGATTTCACACTTTACCGAATACTAGGGGAGACTATTACACAGTTTGTGGCAAGGCTGTTATAACCAGTTAGAATCTGAGTTATTTGCTTTATTTTTAGAAAGAAACAGGATTTGCTCTTAAAATTTTATTTTAGGTATGTGTTTAATTTGTAAAATCTTTTCTAAAGGCTTAAATGTCATCCAGATAGGATATAATACAACAGTAAGGATTATATTCCATGACAATTTAACAGTATTACATGAATGCCATGTAATTTATTCCTGATTTCTTTTTATCTTTTAGAGTTATAGATAGTAGTATGAAAAACTTCAAAGCATTTTTTCGGTGGCTTTATGTGGGTAAGTTAAGTGAATGAAGCATTCATTTTAATATATTTTTTTAATTGTGAAGCATCAATTTAGAATATTTCATTTACTCTAGTAAACTTTCAAATACTTATGAGAGAGAGCGAATAGTGTAAACGAACCCCTCCTGCTCTCCAGCTAGTTCAGCAGTTTTTTACTGCGTGGCCGGTCTTCTCTACCCTACCCATCCCCACCTCCCCACAGGTGTAACCTGTAGCATTGGTTGTCTCTCTCACTCACTGATAATCTTTTTTTACCTTGTGATGTCTCCTTAGGTTAAAATAGCATTTTTGAATCCCTGATATGTATTAGATACTGCTAGGTGTTAGATTAAAACAAATAATAATAGTAAAAATAAGACACAGCCTCTGCTTTGAATAGCTTATTTTCTGTTTTATACTTTGGTCTTCTGTCTCTAGATCTATCCTGTCTATTATGGAAGCCACTAACCACATGCGGCTATTTAAATTAGTTGAAATGTTATAAAGTTATATATTCATATCCTCAGTCGTTCCAGCCACATTAGAAGGACTCAATAGTCACATGTGGTTAGTGGCTACGGTGTTGTACAGCACAGGCTAGGACATTTCGTTTCCATTATCACTCCTGTTGAACAGTGATGCCCCTAGCTAATTGAATGCAGACCACTTGTGGCCTTTTTCGGTATCTTCAGAGAATCTTTGCATTTGTAGGTAGTTAACATATGTTTATCAACTTGATATTCAATGTTAAATACTGTGCAGTATATGCATATTTTATTTAGGTCTGTTTGAACTGTCATTTTAATGACCTCTAAATATCTTTGAAATAATCCAATATACATTTCCCTCCAACATATGCTAAATTTAATTATAAATGGAATTTATCCCATATTTGTTAAAATTCCAAAGGGTAAAATAGAAAATAAATTACCTGAATTGTGCTAGCATCCTTTAAACAAATGCCCAGATCTTTAATTTGGATATTTTAAAAACAGACTTTATATTGGTTAGCTTAACATAATTGCTTTTGATAAAATAATGAATGTGATCTGTAGATGTTGATATTTCTAATTCTTAGATTTTTCTCAGAACTGTACCAGCACAAGCCAGGATGGGGAGCCAGAGTGTTTATCAGGCCAGCCTGTTTAATTGATCAGAATTGTTAATTAGAATAAATTACAGTATCAAAACTGAACGAAACCTTAGAAATAATTTTCTTTTACAGAAGTAGTAGTTTGGTTTTACTTATTTGAGTAATTTAGATAGTTTATATTCTTATTGCATGTCCTAACTGTAATAAGAAGCCAGATTAGAAGAGAAATGAATTGCTGCTCAGTCCTTATTATTGGAGCAGGACAGTATAGAAAGCTCCAGTGCTGGATTAGGGACTGCAGACCTAACTGTAGTCTGGCTCTGCCACTAGTTAGCCCTGTAGCCTTGGTTTGCTCTTTTGTAAAATGCCATCTCCGTAAAGACAGGAACTTCTTTTTATACTCCTGTATCTCTAGCGCCTATAGTGCACTCAGTTTTTGGGTGGATAAATGAATGAATGGAACTAGCTTATGTCTGGTTTTTCTGATAATTTAGAAGTTTGAAGTAATTAAAAATGGTTTCTGAAATAATCTATATTTGCGAAGCAAGTCCAACATGCTTTCTCATGACCTAACACAAGGAATGTGTTCAAACACTATGCAGAAGCGTATGCAGTGTGCTTCATGACTTGGGTGGGTGTAACACAGAAACACATTGTAGGTGAAGACAACCCTGTGGAGGGACAAGAGTCAACCACAGACACTAGGTTAAAGACAGTGTGTAAATTTGTATGTGAGTGCATTTATACATGCATAAGTCTTAGTGTAAGTATCTTATGTGGTGAAAAAGCCCAAGGGAACGAAACACATCCGTTTATGGTATTCTAAGGCTTTCGGAGGAAAGCATCGCTTGTAGATTTTAAAAGAGGAATCTTTGTACACGAAGCCTTAATAGTCTTAGCACAAGGCGGCAGTTAGATTTGTTAGTCTGGAGTAGCAATGGGTTGAGTTGAAGGAGAAAGTGAAAAATAATAGTTTAGGATGGTTAATTCAACCTTTTTGAACTCGAAAATATAAATCAAATTTAAATTCTTCACCTTTTGTGTTTAGAAGAAAATAACTTTTCCTAAGAGAAAGGAAGCTGTTGACAATTGAAAATTTTGTCCAGTGAAACACATTGGTCATGAGAAAGTATCTATAATTAAAATTATGTTTTCTTTAGAAATGGTTTTTAAATTTATATTTCCAGCAATGTTGAGAATGACAGAAGACCACGTACTTCCTGAGCTGAATAAGGTACTATATAGCAGTATGTTTTTCTCACGTGTTAGGTATGCCCTGCCTGAGCTCAGCCTTGTTGGTCACCTGGGCCTTCTTATTCAGTTATTAGTTAACAGGGTGTCAGACTGCAGACACGAGACAAATTTTAGTAAGCCTTTTATTTTTAAAAGAAATTTACACGTTATATATATATATATCTTTTAATCTCAGAATACCTTTATGATGGCTGTTAAATTTATAATTTTCATGTTTGTATATGATTTTATAATCTATGTAACATAGAGTGTTTGTATTCCTTGTTTTAATGTCCTTAGATCTTAAGTGCATTATTTTCTTTGCAAACGTAGTGCTTAGATATTCGTGCCTATGTTGATATTTGGTAAGCGCAGTTACTTTCTGACTATATGGATTGTGACAAGCTGCAGTGCAATCTCCTTCCAGGAAGATCTTTAAGAATAGGGCAAAATTCCCACTTGATTCCTGCAGCTTAGTCATCCTCACCCCTGCCCAAACTGTCTGATTCAGGTAGTTTTTATAAGCAAGCATTAAAATAAGCCTCGGTAAATGACTAAGGAATGACAGCTCTTAACACGAAGCAGATTTTCTGTGCTATGGGTGACTGTCCTTGCAAACTAGGAAAGTTCACCCATAGCTATTTCTCTAGCATTACTCTTACCTTTATTATTATGTTAATATTTGGGAGGGACCTAAATGTTTACTTTTTTGAGGGCTGAAGAACTAGGATAGGGTGAGAGAAGGGTCATTGCAAGAAGCAGAGGCCAGCACTGAAGCAAGCAACAGGTGATTTGCAGCCCTAAAGTCAGGTCGAGGTTATTTATCTGGGCTAACAGTCCCCTCCACTCCCAAAGGAGGGACCCTGCACACCTCAGCTTAGCACAGGCATAAAATAATAAACAGTGTTAGGCCGGAAGGAGTTCTGTAGCGTTTGGATTGGCTGGTTGGAACATAAGTTTAAGTGTTTAATTACATGCTTCTCAGAACCCCAGAATTTCCTCCTATTTTCAGAGTTAAATAATCATCTGGATTTTATTGATATTTCTTAGAAGGAACTTTGCTTCTTTGTTCTGTGGCTTTTAGTCTATAGTAAAAAAAAAAAAAGATCACATTTATTACATAGTATTTCTTTTATTAGGAAGCTTTCTTTTGATTTGATTTCTTTTTATTTCTTTTTGGTTTTGATAGATGACTCAAAAAGATATCACATTTGTTGCTGAATTTCTTACTGAACATTTCAATGAGGTAGGAAATTGGTATTTTCTGTGATGCTGTTTTTTCTTAATTGCAATAAATCTGTGTAATGGTAAGAAGTAATCAAATTTAATCCAATTCAAATGAAGTTTCTAGCAGTTCAGCTTTTTAAACTATTGAACTAATTAATGGCAGTTCTTATTTATTAAACATAAAGCCTTTAAATTGAACTTTTGTTTGTATGTGTGTCTTACAGCCCATGAAAGAAAGAGTAACTGCCACTTACAACTCTCTTAAAAAAATAAAGTTTTTGGTTTAAATATAAGATATTTTTTTCTATTGTGAGTTGACTTAACAATGAAGCTATATTTGTTCTTTCTAGGCTCCAGACCTTTATAATCGAAAAGGAAAATACTTCAATGTTGAAAAAGTTGGTCAGGTATGGGTTTTGGATTGAATTAAGTTATTAATTTTAACTAATTTAAATACACTAGCAATGTTAGTCTTTATTGTCCAAAGGTTACAGAAAGTAATGTAATACCATATATAATAGCCCTACCATTTTCAGGAAATAACCATAGAGTAGCAGTTTTTAAACTTTCTGGTCTTGGAACTCTTTTGCATTCTTAAAATTATTGAGGACTCTGAAGAGCTTTTACGTGGGTCATATCTATTAATGCTAGGTATTATTAGGTATTAGACATTAAACAGAATAAAAAATTATTTCTAAATTTATTTTAAAAAATAACCATTGAAAAAGACAATTATCATTACATGTTAATATAAACATTTTTAATAAAAAATAACTCACAAAACAGTGAAGAGTGGCATTTTTTAATATTTTTGCAAATCTCTTTAATGTCTGGCTTAATGGAAGACAGCTAGATTCTCATATCTGCTTTTGTATTCAATCTGCTAATCTGTCGTGATATGTTGTTTTGGTTAAAGTATATAAATAAAATGGCTTCATATAGATATGTAATTGGAAAGGGGAGAAGTATTTGAATAGCTTTTTTAGATAATTGGATGTTACTTGATACTGTATCAAATCCTGACAGGTGATAGAGGTTAGCTTCAATGTGGAATCTAAATTGCATCAGTGGACTTTTCATACTCTGATACATTAAAATCCATTCATCTGCCTTGAACTTTGAATGGGTCTTTTACCCATGCATGATTTTGTAACATCATGTCTTGGCCATTGAAGAATATTGATTCACTGAGTTATGCAGATCTCCCATATGCTGACACCTTTCTTCATATAGTATCCAAAAGTCAGGTTTTATTAATGTCACTGATTTCATCAAGACAGTCTTTGAGTACTGTGAAGCTGTCGCGCACACAGTGGCAAATACACGTTTTCCAAAATTTTAATTTTTGCATGAATGTTTGAGTTTTATCATTGGCAACAGATACTATCAGTTGGTTTACTTAAAATGACAGGCTCATTTTATTTATTTTCAAGAAAATATCTGCCAAATACTCAAGAATGGATAATCATAGTTTTCCTGCCAGTCATTCTTTCAAGTAAAAGTGGAATTCCATTAACAGCAAAAAGTGCCTGGCTTAAGTCACAGCTACGTTTTTATAAATGCTTCTCCCCACGTTAATCATTATGCTTTGGTATGCAGCAAAAGTGCTTTATGTATACTTTCAGTTCCTTCACACAGAATATTAAAAAGATTTGTACTCAAAGGTTGAGATTTAATAAAATTAATTATTTTAATTGCTTCATTAGTGTTTAGTGAAATTGTGTGTGGCAAAGAAGACTACAGTGACTTGCTGGTAGGGTTTGGTGCCACTGCCTTGGCTCTTGGTGACGATACCAGCAGATTTTCCCACCTCTACTTTTTTTTGACCTTCAGTGTAAATGTCATTACAGTGAAAGGAGCAAATTACATCTTGATAATATTATGAAAATGGTATTGACCTTGTGAGTCCCTGAAAGCATCTTGGGGACTCCACACTTTGAGAGCTATGCCTGTAGAGTACATTGACAGTTGACACTTCAAATTGATTTGTAAAGTTACGTATATAAGCTTAAAGTGTGCTTCATGAAAATGGAACACAAAATTTAAACTCAATTTATGATCTCTACACCTACAGCATTCTAATCTTTTAGTAGTTAGCAGTTTGTTTAGTTGCTTGGCATTTAACAAACTTCGGTCTCCTCACTCAGAATAATAGCAATGCACTTTTCAAGAGGACTTGGTAGTAAAACTAACTTATTAAATAGAATAATGTTAAATATAAATTTTTGAAGCTTCCTCTTTGGTTTCTTACATTTAAATCTTTAATTCTATATTTCTAGTACTTGAAAGATGAAGATGATGATCTTGTGTCACCCCCCAACACAGAAGGAAATCAGTGGTATGACTTCCTTCAGAATAGCAGCCACCTTAAAGGTATTTCATGAACCAAGTAGAGTTTGGCCCTGTTCATATTTATTTGAGACCAGTATATCAGCTGACAGTTTTGCTGAATACTTGCTGAGTACTTCTGAATTCTTTAGAGTTATGTTTTGTGTCCATTTCATTTGATTCTAAAGAAACAGCAAAATAACAAATAATATATGACATAACCATTATCAAAAACACTCTGATATTAACTGTGATATAGTAAGATTGCTTATTCTTAAGTATTGTCTGTTTTACACTCTATAAAAAAAATAAGATATTGGGTAGAAAACTATAGAGCCTACTAAAGAAGTCTGTTTCGCCAGGGCTAGTCTCTTAACTCCTAAAAGTAAAATGATGCATCACTGTATTCTGAGGCCGAAGCTTTTTGGTTTACTTGTTATACCTTTCATTCTCTGGGATCATAAAATGTCGATATGGTAAAACTTTAGCATTATTAGGGATGCAACACAAAATAGCAACCATTAAATGTCAGAATTTCACTAAATGAAAATATTTTTTAAGTTAGCATTTCTTTGCTATCTCAAAGAGTAATCTGACCACAGTTTAGTTTCTTAGATCTTTAGGGTAATAGCCACATACACGTTATTACCTCCTTTAATTCATGCAACAGCCTGTGGGGTAGGTACTTGTTATCCTCATTTTACTAATGAGGAAACAAAGTTAAAAAAGGTCCAAGATCACACAAGCTAGGAAGCGAGGGAGCTAAGATCCTCTTAACTACAGAACCTCAGTTTGTAGCTGGACTCAATAGTAATCTCTGCCTCTTATCTGGTTGGTGTTTATCTGGAGGGAGGGAGGAAGGAAGGGACAGAAGAGGATGAGAATTCTCTGAGGCCCAGAACTTTGCTTATTGCTCTTTTGTTTTAACCCTAGAAGTCCAGGGCAGGACACATTTTGTATTACTTGAGAGTCAAGATCACTAGAGAAATATAGCAATGTACGTTAGCTATTGCATGGAGGGAGAATAGAGGTATAGCTGACTCATTTGCTGTACTTAATCAGGATGCCCAAGGAATAAGGGATGGTACCAGAGAAGGGCCGATAGTGTGCCAGGAGTGGTGGCACCTGGACTGTATTGGGCTATTATTGATCTGGGAACTTTGTTGCTCTAAAAATAGGTCCCACCCATCTTCTGTGGCTGAATAGAAAGGCTTAATTTTAGCTACAGTCCTCATCCTTAACACAGATACACCAGACTAACTCCATCTCTTACGTGCTTGCTGTTTGAGTTGTGAGTTTCAGCAAGCTCAGTAATCTCCCAGTTTCTAAGTCTAGTATTAATAACAACTATCATTATGGAACTATCAGGAAAACTAATGAAACTTCTTTCTAACACATTGCAGAAATCAGGTGCTAAATGCTTAGTGTATATATTTTGTTAGGGCACATGAAAGAGTCAGTGTTATATACTGGGTCCAAGTTGGTGCTCCGGAAACTGGATTGCTTGGGTTGGAATCTCGCTCTGCTACTTCCTAGGAGTGTGGCTGAGGGCGAGTTGCCTAACCTCTCTGTGCCCCAGTTTTCTCATATGAAAATGAAGATGATGATGGGGCCGCCCTCAAGAAGCTGTTGTGGAGATTCAGAATGGATCTATAAAAAGCATTTAGCGTAGTGCCTGGCACATAGCACATAAATAGTCACTGTATTAGCATCTGAGATGTTTTTCCTCAAAACACTTCTGACACCAAAATGTGAGGTTTTTTCCTCATAAGACCAGTTCTGACACCAATTGTGTCCTACTGTTTAATTCGGACACTCTCTACTGTTAGCACCAGACTCCACAGGTTTAAAGGCTTCATCCCACAACAATGCACCCACTTCAGACTTTAGTTGCAAGTATTGGGGTCCCTAGGTTACCTACATTTCTGTCCCACTTGACTACAAAGTTGGGGATTCTCACAATTTCCCGCCACCTTCAGGTTTGATAATTGGCTAAAATGGCTCATAAAACTTAGAAAAACACTACACATGTATTTACCAGTTTATTATAAAGGATACACGTAAGGAATAGCCAAGTGGAAATGGTGCATAGGATGAGGTGTGGGGGAGGGGCGCAGAGCCACCTCCAAGTGCATCATCCTCCCAGAACCTGATGTAGTCACTCACTCCCCAGAGTTCCTCCGAGCTCTCTTGTTTAACAACAGGTTTTATGGAGTTTTCATTTTGTAGACATGATTGTTTAAGTCATTGACTGTTGGTGATTGAATTCAACTCCCGCTTCTCTCCTTTCCCCTCCCTGGGTATTGGGGGGTGGGTCTGAAGGTTCCAAGCTTCTAATCAAGACTTGGCCTTTATGGCGACCAGCTCCCATCTTGAAGCTATCAGGGGACTGGCAAGAGTCACTTCATTAAACAAAAGATGTTACTATTACCTTTATCAGTCAGGAAATTCCAGATGTTCTAGGAGCTCTGTGCTGGGACAAAGACAAAATATTTTTCTATGATACCACAGCATCTGTCACCTTTTAGGAGCTTAAAATGTTAACATGCTTACAATTCTTTTTATCTAGCTTAGCTGGGACATGGGATGCTATAAGTGAGGAAGGCCTACAGGGCACTGTGGAAGAGGATGGCCTTGGGCATTGAACTTGGGTTTGATTCATAGGTCTAGATACTCAGTCATTTCACAGTGGGCAGTTGCCCAAACCTAAGCCTCCCTCTTTTTTTTAACCTATAAAATGGAGTATATGATGCTTACTTTGTACAGTAAGCAGTGAAAATAACAGATATGAAAAGAACCTAGTATACTTGGTGTCAGTAAATACTTCATTATGTATTACTTTCTACAGATAAAAGCCTTTTTAAAAGTAAAGAGCTTATTTTCATAGCACTAGTTTCTTGTGTCCTGTTTTTGTTTTTAGCATACTCTTCTGAAACAATATTGGGTTGTTGTCACTCCATTGTGGCAAAAAATAAAGAATGAACTTTGTTTTATTATATGTCTTATGGTTCTCAAATCATCCCTTTCTTCTTAGAGCCAAAAGAAGCATACTGTTGGATTTTGGTAGGAAAAAATAGCATATAGAATAATATGCTGCTGGAACTCAACTTATAGTGAGTGCGGTGGTTTTTAGCAGGCTGGCAGCAGGGGATGATGAAATGCAGACAGTCATGGTGATTTTTAGTGAGGTTGTATGAAGGTGTAATGAAGTAGCCAGGAAGAATTCCACCATCAGAAAAGCCCTGTGGGCTGGCTCTAATAGTAGAATATTTTCTCCCAGTCATCTGGTTTACTATAGCTTTTTGTTTGTTTGTTTCAAACCAGAAAGTCCTTTGCTGTTTCCTTATTATCCTCGAAAATCATTGCATTTTGTGAAAAGGAGGATGGAGAACATTATTGATCAATGTTTGCAAAAGCCAGCAGTAAGTTTGAAATAAATGCATGTCTTTGTTTAGGAGCAAGAATATCTACAATATGTGGCTCGTTTATGTGAATGATCATAGTCGTTAAGATGAACCATATGAAAATGCTGGTATTCAAATGTTTTTAATTAAAAAAATTGGCAGTTTATTCATGTGGATCCCCCTAATATTTCCTCTTATTGTTAGTTCCTTATATAAATTAAAAATAAAAAGATTATTGGAAGTGTTGGCATCTTTAGAATTTGTTCCCAGAACAAACTTGCTATAAATGGTCTTAGTTACAGAGCTGATATGTCTCTTATTTACTATCAATGGATGGATAATTGACGCAATGATTTTAGAAGTGGTTCTTCAGCCTGCTGTGTGCTTATCTCCAAGGTCCTTTACAGCTCAATTTTCTCTTTTCCTTGCTGTTATGATTGTCATTAAAGTTTCTTGTGTGAAAGATTTGGTGATGTACTTGATATTTTTTACTAGACTTGACCAGTGATGATCAGTCACTTTCTGTAGAGTATTTATCTGTGTGTATGTAAATGCTCTAATAATATCTTTAATCTTATTTAGGATGTAATTGGAAAATCGATGAATCAAGCAATCTGTATTCCATTATATAGAGATGCTAGAAGGTAATTGTTTTTACCTTTTGGGTGGTAAAATTCGACAGCCAATTTAAATTTTTCTTAATTTTTTTCCTTTTGTTTTAGTCAAGACTCTACACGTAGATTGTTCAAATTTCCTTTTCTGTAAGTGTGAGTTTTTTCCTTTCATGTGAACAATACAATTTTGTTCTCTGCATTGGTAGTTGAATATCATGTTTTGACACTAAGTTATTTTTCCTTAGGTGGAATAATAAAACTTCAAATCTGCACTATCTTCTTTTTACTATTTTGGAAGATTCACTTTATAAAATGTGCATCTTAAGGAGACATACTGATATTTCCCAGTAAGTATTAATCTGAAGTTCGAATCAGAAGGGTTAAGATTTTATTATTTTTAATCATAAAATGTACAGCCTTGTCGACATTTCAGGTTTTATTTAAGCTACCTTATGACTTTAGGCTTCTCACTGAACCGTTCTTAGTGTTAATTTTCACATCATTAAGATGATAGTGCCAAATTAGGAAGCTATATGATCCCTTCTAATTATAGATTATCTAATTTTGTATTGATATATAGCAATTACATGTAGGACTGTTTTAGGGTTAGGAAAAATATCAGCGGAACACTGGGTTACATATCATGAACTTGTAGAAGTCTAAAATTGAATTCTGGGTTCCTTATAGAAAGGATTTTTACCTCAGTTAAGTATGGGTTTCATTAAACAAGAGGCCTCACCTATAGAGACTTCTTTTGAGACTCCAAGTAAAAGTTCTGTAAGGCAAATCCTTTTCAGAATGTTATTAGCAAGGGTCCCCAACCCCTGAGCCGCGGACCGGTGTCGGTCTGTGGCCCGTTAGGAACCAGGCTGCATAGCATGGAGTTGAGCAGCAGTCTAGTGAGCGAAGCTGCATCTGTATTTGCAGCCGGTCGCCAGCGCTAGCATCACCGTCTCAGCTCCACCTCAGATCATCAGGCGTTAGATTCTCGTAGGAGCACTGGTTCCTGGTGCCAAAAAGGTTGGGGACTGCTGCCATTAGTATCTTAAGTGGTTTTAATATGAATTTCAAGGACATTTTTTGAGACCAAGATATAGCCAAAGAAAAATGAATTGGTTGTTCCAGATGTCCTTAATTTTATAAGGTATCTAGTACTTTGGTAAGTATAAGATTTTAAACCAGGTTGTAATTTTGATATTAGGTTTGTCTGTCTGTGTGTTTAAACTGGTTGTTAGTATTCATTCTCGAGTGAATACAGTGGCGCTCTGGTCTGGAATATGGTGTTTAGGTAAATGTGCTGCCACTGACAATCATGTTCTTTCAAGCATTTAGATTATTGCTGTCCAGATTGTTCCACAGTCTCTTTTCCCCCTTCTTTCTTCAAGATCTGTAAGTAATGGACTAATTGCTATTAAGTTTGGGAGCTTCACATATGCCACGACTGAGAAAGTGAGAAGAAGGTAAATCTTGAATTTTGTTTGGATGATATACACACACATATGATACGTATATATGTTTAATAGATGCAAATTATAGGAGTATGGTTAGGTTCAATTACAGTGATGATATACCTAGAAAGCCTTCCTCACTTGCAACATAGTGGGCAAGATTGGTCATATATACGTTTTATACTTAGATAATT